GCAATCAACAAAACTGAAAGACAACCTATTGAATGAGAGAATATATTTGTAAATGACATATCCAATAAAGGGTTAGTATCCAAAATATATAAAGAACTTTTATAAGCTCAACATGCAAAACACAAATAATCCAATTGAAAAATGAGTGGAAGACATGAACAGACAGGTCTCCAAAGGTGACATGCAGGATGGCCAGCAGACACATGGAATGATGCTCAGCATCACTAATCATCAGGGAAATACAAATCAAAAGCACAGAGAGATACCACTTCACACTTGTCAGAATGCCTAAAATCAAAAATACAAGAAATAGCAAATGTTGGTGAGGATGTGGAGAAAAAGGAACCCTTGGGCACTGTTGATGGGAATGCAAACTAGTGCAGTTTGGAAAATAGTTCCTCAAAAAGTTATAAATAGAACTACCCTATGATCCAGTAATTGCATTACTAAGTATTTACCCAAAAATATAAAAATACTAATTCAAAGGGATAAATGCACCCCTGTGTTTATTGCAGTATTATTTATAGTAGCCAAAGTGTGGAAGCACTCCAAGAGTCCACAGATATATGAATGGATAAGGAACAAGTGGTATAGGGGTCCCTGGATGGCTCAGTCGATTAAGCAGCCAGTACTTGATTTTGGCTCAGATCCTGATGTCATGGTTGTGAGATCGAGCCCTGCATTGGGCTCTGCAGTGAGTGTGGAGCCTGCTTAGGATTCTCCTTCTCCCTCTCTCTCTTCCCCTCCCCTACTCACTGTCTCTCCCTCTCTCTCTCAAAATAGATAAATAAACTTTAATTTTTTTTTATTTTAAAAAAAGAACAAATGGCATACTCACACGCCTACACACTGGAGAATTATTCAGCCATAAAAAATAGACTGAAATCTTGCTATTTGCAACAACATGGATAGAGCTAAACAGTATAATGCTAAATGAAATGTCAGTCAGAGAAAGACAAATTCCGTATGATTTCATTCATATGTAGCATTTAAGAAACATGACCAGAGGAAAAAGAGACACAAATCAAGAGACAGACTCTTAATTGTAGAGAACAAATTAATGATTACCAGAGGGGAGGGTGTAAGGGAGGAGTGAAGTAGGTGATAAGGATTAAAGAATAAATACACTTAGAGTGCACTAAGTAACGCATAGAGTTGTTGAACTACTGTGCACTTGAGACTAAAATAACACTACATGTTAACTATATTGGAATTAAAATTAAAAACAATATAAAAAAGAGAAATAGTGTCAATTGTTAGCAAATTTTTGCTACTTGAGTGCTGTGATACAAATATTTTGTTTGATGATTGTGTAAATGTAAAAGTTATGTTTCTATTTTTCTTTAAAACATTTGAATTTTGGATGAATAAATAGTGCATGTATTCATTTTGAATGTTTCAAAATGAATAAACCCCATTTATTTTAAAAAAATAAAAAAGAGGGGCGCCTGGGTGGCGCAGTCGGTTGGGCGTCCGACTTCAGCCAGGTCACGATCTTGCCGTCCATGAGTTGACAGCGTCAGGCTCTGGGCTGATAACCAGAGCCCCTGGAGCCTGTTCGATTCTGTGTTTCCCTCTCTCTCTGCCCCTCATTCATGCTCTGTCTCTCTCTATGCTTAAAAAATAAGCGTTGAAAAAAAAAAATAAAAAAAAATAAATAAAAAAGAGAAATAAAGCGTCTTCATGAAGCAGTTGCTCTCATACCAGCTAGAATCTATTTCTGGATTTGGGAATTTTCTTCTTTCTGAAACTAATTTAAGCATTAAAAAATGCCTCTTTTCTGGTTTCCTCACTCTTCACTAATCTCTCTTAAAGGAAGAGATCAAGTTATTTCATTTGCCACTGCCCTGTTTGTTAGTTAATCTGTGCATCAGTAGTTAGCTACTGGGCACTTGGGTAGCTCAGGTGGCCTGCTAACTCTTGATATCTGCTCAGGCTGTGATCTCCTGAGACTGGCCCCTGCCAAATGAAAGATATAGCTGAGGCATTAGAATCCACTTGGGATTATCTCTCTTCTCTCTCTCTCTCTCTCTCTCTCTCTGCCTCCCCACTGACTTGTAGGCTCTGTTTTTCTTATCCAAAGTGAAACAATAATATATTATAATACCAATATTATGTTATATTGTTATATTATATAGTATATGATATATGTAATATTGTATATATATATATATATATATATATATATATAGTAGCTAATTACCTACTATTTTGACTCCCTTGCTTTTGTGGTCTTACTTATTGTTTCATCCTTTTGTATATGGTACGCCCTCCCCAACACACTGGGACATTTCAAAGGGTTTCTGTTTTGTTAGTTCTTTTACTTTCTGTAACTACATCCAGATTCTAAAGATAAATGGATTGTCATTTATTTTTCCAAATGAACTGAATATCTAAGGTAGCATTCGATTTCCTATTTAATTAAACTTCAGTCTACTTCTTACTCAGCTTTTTCCTCAAGGTGTGACTCTTCCTTTACAATTAATACAATGCCTAGAGTTAATAACTACAGTTAATTTTAGAAAAAAACTTTTTTAGAAGAGTTATTTCCCACCATTTTTAAAAACTTTTTTAAATGTTTGTTTATTTTTGAGAGAAAGACAGAACTTGAGTGGGGGAGGGGCAGAGAGAGGGGGAGGCCAACAATCCTAAGCAGGCCCCAGGCTCCAAACTGTCAGCACAGCTTGGACATGGGGCTTGAACACGAATTACTAGATCATGACCTGAGGTGAAGTAGGGCGCTTAACAGACTGAGTCACCCAGGCGCCCCTCCTACCAATCATTTTAAAGTACAATTTTTTTTTTTTTTTTTTTAAGAGGAGACAGTGTTTCCTTTGGAATGTGTTTAAAGCATTAACAATATTGTGCTATGTTACTTGATTAAGCTTTCCTCTGGGTGAACTTAAAGTGCATCCATGAAAATAAACTTCAAAGTAACAGAATTCATATTCTTTGTGGAACTGAAAAATTATAATTAAGAGTAAATATGCCTCCTTGTTGGGATGAACACTGGGTGTTGTATGTAAGCCAATTTGACAATAAATTATATTCATTAAAAAAAGAGTAAGTCTGCTCAATATTTTTTTTTACTTAAATTTTTGGAGTGGATTAAGGTTCACACAAAGTTGAGGGGAAGAAGGTACAGAAATTGCCCATACATGCCCTGGCCTCACACATGCACAGCCTCCCCCATTATCAACATCCTTCACCACAGTAGTATATTACAATTGATGAACCTATATGACACATAATAATCATCCAGATTCCATTGTTTACAGTACAGGTTACTCTTAGTGGTGTACATTCTGTGGGTTTGCAAAATGTATGACAAGTATCCATCATTATGGTTTCATACAGAACATTTTCACTGCCATAAAAATTCTCTGTGCTCTGCCTATTCATTTCTTCCCCCTCCCAACTCTGTCAACTGTCGATCTTGTTAATGTCCTCATAGTTTTTGCCTTTCCTAGAGTGTCATGTTGGAGTCATATAATATGTAGTCTGTTTAGATTGGGCTTCTTTTGCTTAGTCGTGTGCATTTAATGTCTTTCCATATCTTTTCATGGCTTGATAGCTCACTTCTTTTTTAGCTCTGAATAATATTTGATTGTCTGGATGTACCTCAATTTATCCATTCACCATTGAAGATCTTGGTTGCTTTCAAGTTTTGGCAGTCATGAATAAAGCTGCTATAAACATCAGTATGCTGGTTTTGGGTGGACACAGTTTTTAACTCATTTAGCTAAATACCAAAGAACACAATTACTGGATAATATGGTAAGAGTATGTTTAGTTCTATAAGAAACCACCAAACAGTTTTCCAAAATAAATATATAAAAATAAAACTTTGTGGTGATCATAACCTTATAGTTAAGGATTATATATCATAGGAGATCACAATAAGCCATTTATAGTTAAGAGGAAAATGTCTTAGGAGAAGTTCTAAACCCCATTTTTTAAATCACCTACTGGTACAGTTTCATTATAACAAATAGATACAGCTTAAATAGGGTATTTATGCAACCCCGCTAAAATTCTTTGTTCTTTGCATCTCTGTAATAGTTCATTTATACATATTCTTGAAGTTTCTCTTTATTTAAAAAAAAGGAGTATTAGTGCTTTGTCTTCTGAAAAGCATTTATATCAACAGTTAAAATATTTTTTCACTATGTATGTAAGTATGATGTATGTATCTATCTAGAGATAGATCATCTCCACATTGTTAAATTGCCTGGTGCTTATTTTTTTAATGTTTATTTATTTTTGAGAGGTGAGGGAAGGGGCAGATAGAGAGGGAGAGAGAGGATGCAAAGAGGGCTTTGGGCTGACAGCAGCGAGCCTCATGTGGAGCACAGATGTGGGGCTCGAATTCATTAACCATAAGATCATGACCTGAACCAAAGTTGGATGCTCAACCAACTGAGCCACCCTGGCATCCCACGTGGTGCTTATTTAAAGTTGACGTGGCTGAGTAGGTATTGGTTTAAAAAAAAAGTCTAAGGGTTTTATTTGACCAAATGATAATTATGAATGACCATTTATTGAAGATTCTATCAAGTATATTTTTTAATCAGTTGGGAGGTAAGATTTAACATCTTTGTTAGGATCTGAGTTTCTAAAAGTCTCATTTATTGGCACCTCGGTTCAAAAATAAGATTAGGAAAAAAAAACAAAAAAACAAAAATAAGATTAGGATTAGTGGCAAAATTATCTAGGCAGACAAGGTTTTAAAGGTTTTAGCAGGTGATAGTATAGATAGAAAGAGGGTCAAAGTGGGGAGGAGCTGTATATCATTTGAAAAGAAAGATGTTCTAAATTTCAGCCAGAAAGTGTCTGAAATTTATTGAAAGTTATACTGCCTTTGAGTAAAGAAAACATTAGATTTGATATAAAATGCTCACAGATTTATTTGTTTATGTATTTATTTGCTTTTTATTATGTGAATTCTCATTACCACTATAGCAGCATATAATGGATCCAAATTCAACTGTGTCTTTTAGGCTAATTCAGGAAGAAAAAGAATCTACAGAGTTACGTGCTGAAGAAATTGAGAATAGGGTGGCTAGTGTGAGCCTGGAAGGCCTGAATTTAGCAAGGGTCCACCCAGGTACCTCTATCACTGCCTCGGTTACAGCTTCTTCGCTGGCCAGTTCATCTCCCCCCAGTGGACACTCAACGCCAAAGCTCACCCCGCGAAGCCCTGCCAGGGAAATGGATCGGATGGGAGTCATGACACTGGTATGATGATGTGCACAGAGAACATTTGACCCCATTAAGACTCATGTGCATTAGCTGATTCATATTGGGTGTTTGTTCTAAGGACTTTCTGTGTGTTTTATTGTTTTTCTTTTTTTCGCAACAACCATATGTGGTAGGTGCAACTACTAATCCCATTATGAGTGGAGGAAATGTAGCCTACAAAGATGTAATTTTTCAAGTCACATAATAAGGAAATAGAAGAGCAGCGATCTAAATGTCACATCAGAAATCTGAGTGATGGAAACCATTAAGTAAATTTTTCCTTATGATATCTTGGTGAGGTAGTTGGGAGTGAGTATTTTACTTTTAACACAATAAATAACAGAAAATACTGGTTCTAATTGCTCCAATATAACAACCTAAAATGCTAAATTTTTATAATATAAATAATATAACTTTAATTAAAAGAACCACCAAAACCAATAGCAACAATTTCCCAATTTTGTTTTAGAATTTCATGTCAACATTTTTACCCTTCTTTATTCTTTAATCCTTTGTTTCATTTATTTTTGTTTAGAATTAAAAGTCGGAAACCTAAATTATTAAGAATTAAAAGTTGGAAACCTAAATTATTAGGAGGTGCTCTGAACATAACAGAGAAAATCAAAGTGCCCTTCGCTAAAAATAAGGTAGAAAAACCTCTGGAAAAAAAAATGATAGGAATGACTACTGAATACTGTGATGTTTTACTTCCTATCATAACATCTGCATGTCAGAGGACACCATTTCAATAGAAAGCAGAAGTAACAGGCGTTTGAGAGCATGAGTAAATTGCCCAGGTTTAACACAGTAAATGGAGCTGTATGTCTTTCAAATTTGCTGACGCAAAAGCATATACTATTCCGTCCATTTATTTTTTTCTGTGATTACCTAGAACTATGTTTAAATGACAATAATTAAGATTTAAACATTCTAAACTATTTATGGAGGTAAAATTCTGGTTTTGTAATGAATATTAAAACTATACTATTAAAAAAATTCCAATTAAACACAAATTTGGGGGTAGAAATTAATTTAAAAAAATAGATAAAATAATAGCTTAGAGACTGTAAAACTAGCACAAATATAACAAATGGAGAGTAAATTAATGTTACCACAGAAGAAGATGAAGTGTATATAGTGTTTCTGCATATGTTCAGAAAGCTGTGAAGCTACTATAAAAAGTGTCACAATATCTGTATCTGTGTATGTATGCGTGTAAAGTATCTGAACAAAAAATTTTAATTAATTTTCTAAATAGCATCTTTAAATAAATATGTTGCAAAAATGTGTACTGTACCTAATATATATATGTGTATATATATATAATACACATATACATATATATGTATATTTCATGCTCTTACGTCTAGGGAAAACTAACACATATTTTTTAAATTTTTACTTTTATAAAATTTATTATGTATAAATATCTTTTTTCTTTAATTTTACAATTGTGAATTGAAACAAAACTGGTGTGGCAGAATTTTTCATATTCAGACTCTTTGCAATTATGGACTTCAACGCAAAAAGTCAATATAAAAGAGAAATGGCAATATTTTTAAAAAAGGAAACATTTACCTTCTTAAGCCATTGAGTCCTCTACTCTGCGCTCATTTCCAGACTTGATATTAAAAATATTCTTAAAATAGACATCATAGACAATGCCCGTTCAGAACAAAGGACGGTAATCAGAACTGACCCCACCTAGACACAGCACAAACTTTTTAGTCAATGTACTAAGATATAATAACCCAATGTACTGAGCTACATTATGATGTGGTGATTTTAGAAATCTAGGAACCATCAATTTGACTTTATTAACTAGATACGATACTATCTTTGGCTTAGTTTCTGTTTATATTTGTTACATATATTTAGCTTTTAAAGTATGTTCATAAACATTAGTATCCTAATCCTTGATAGTGTTAATATTTTTATAATAGCAAAATAACATATTTATAATAATTTAGACATTTATATATATATATATATATGAAAAAGATGCCACTGCTTTCATGAATTTTCTTTAGCAGTTAGTCATAAATAAATCAATAGTAAATGAACATTATTATACTATAATTACAGTACTTAAAAAATATTTAAAGCATTTCTTGAGGGTAAAAAAGTACTTAAAATGTCCCATATCTGACTCAGAAAAACAATAAATGAAATTCAGGGAGTCTTTATCACCTAATAAAACTTCGTCATTAAATTCATCACTGTTATAGTGAAAGGCAGGTAGATTTTCTTTTACCTGTAGAAAATATGAGGGAGGGCATAATTTGGGGAAATATAATCCATGTTTGAATATTCAGAGGAAAATGAAAAATTTGGGAGACAGAAAAGCAGAGATTGAAAAGACATTGTTTTCATTTGTATTGTATGTGTGTATATGTTTTACAAAGATTGTTATTTTTCCTGATTATAAAATGTACTTTTATTTACTTTTACCTCACCACAAATCCATAAGCATAAGGAACATCCTGCCAATATTTAGTAAGAATATTGTGTGGAGTAAATCAACCCATTTTCCAGGAACAAAAATATATAAATGTAAATATAACTATAATGGAATAAAATTGTTTTACTTACATAAGAAAAATTAACAAAGATACTAAGTGAGCAAGATTCATCTGAAATCATAAAGAATTAACTTAAAAAAAATTATGTAATTTTGTAACATTGTAACGTTGACAAGAAAACAGCAGCCCTAAAAACATATTTTATTGAGGCCAGAGCTCTTAGCATTTGGGAATGGGAGACTAGTTAGGAAGCCAGGAAGTTTGAGATAGCTCAGGAGCAGTATGCCTGTCCAAGGGTGGACCAAGGCTCTGCATAGATAAGGCAAGAGGGAATGCTTACAAACTCCATACATGTGCGTTGGATCTTTGTTTATGGATAATCTCTTTCATTCCCATTTATATTTTGGGGAGAAGATAAGTCCCATATTTATTTCTCACTAGCTCACCACATGTGCTTCATATTCCCCAGGGTTCCATGTCTCAGATCCCATGCATGTATGCTTGACCCCATCATGTAGACCTGTCCCCCCCACCCCACCATTCCGTCTAAGAAGTTCCCTCTCTGAAGTCACTTTCAGGAGGAGTCCTCTTATAATGGGTAAAGACATTTATTTAGAAAACAATGGAATGAAAAAACAAGACAGTCAAGTTATAGAATACTATTAAAACTTGTAACATGGTCAAATGATACTCATTAATTCTGTTTTATGTTGCTTTTATTACTGCCAATCACAGCCAAGTGATCTAAGAAAACATCGGAGAAAGGTAATGTAAATATCTTTTGTGTGATTACTAGTTGAATATTGTTTTTTTTCTGTGAAAGTTTTAAAATTGCATTCCCTTTATTTGAAGCATTTTATTAACATAAACAGAAATATTAAAAGTAAGCATTATCGAATTGTTTAAATATGATTATAAGAGCAAATGCCTCAAAATAAAACTGTTTATGTTTTCTAGAGTAATGATTAGATTATGTAGTCTACATATCCTAGAATTAGATTATTTATTGTCAATGCTAGAAGAATGCTGCTTACTTTTAAATGTAGTTTTACTATTATTCATGGATGTGAGACCAACAGATCAGGAGACTACTGCCAATGAAAAGATACCTTGTTACTCACCCTTCCCTTTGCAAAGGCAAAAGCACCTGAGTAGGTCCGGAGGCAAAAAGAACTAGGAGAAAGGATGGGTAGGAGTTTTATTGTAGTTTCTGTTGGAAAGGCAAGGCAGGGTGAGCAGGCTTAAGATTGGCCTGTTTTAATCATTTCTGTGGGCTCTGGGTATAGGGGCTGTCTCCAGTTGTCTGATTCCTGGCCTGGCATGATTAAGGCAGAGGAATATTGCCTCCTGGAGTATTACAAGAGCCAGATCAAGAATATGATTTGGGATACTGGTCTAGATAGATTGATGTACATATGGAAGTCATACTCCAGGGAAGTAGTTTGCAATCTCTAGGAATTAGCTAGTCCTGGGAGGTGCATTCTGTCCTGGATCAGCATGGTGCCAGACGCCAGAGCATCAAGAATATAGAAATTACAAAAATATAATTAATCTTCTCCTTTCTTGTTTAATGTGACATCAAAAAATACATATTGGAAATGAGAAACAAAATTGACTCCAGTCCTGATTCACAAAATGACATCTTCTTAGATAATTGATAACAGCAGAATTCAGACTCATGGGATATCAGATGGGAAAGATTTCAAAGGTTGAACCTACTCTCCAGAGTGTAAATCTATTTTTCAGCATCATCAAGATGTGGTAGGGGGCACCTGGGTGGCTCAGTTGGTTAAGCGTCCAACTTCCACTCAGGTCATGATCTCACTGTCTATGAGTTTGAGCCCCACATCAGGCTCTGTGCTGACAGCTCAGAGCCTGGAGCCTGCTTAGGATTCTGTGTCTCCTCTCTCTCTCTGCCCCTCCCCTGTTCATGCTCTGTCTCTCCCTCTCAAAAATGAATAAACTTAAAAACAAAAAAGATGTGGTAGTCAGATTATGCCCACTTCTAAAACTATAAAAGTATTTTTTTCTTTGTTTTTTTTTTTCAACGTTTATTTATTTTTTTTGGGACAGAGAGAGACAAAGCATGAACGGGGGAGGGGCAGAGAGAGAGGGAGACACAGAATCGGAAACAGGCTTCAGGCTCTGAGCCATGAGCCCAGAGCCTGACGTGGGGCTCGAACTCACGGACCGCGAGATCGTGACCTGGCTGAAGTCGGATGCTTAACCGACTGTGCCACCCAGGCGCCCCTCTTTGTTTCTTTTTTAAATTAAGGGAATCTATATTAACTTGTGTGGCATAGATTGATGGAATTTCTTTTCTGGAGTTATCATCTATCTTCCTATAGCATCTTCTCCTTGATACTAACACTGGGTTCTCAACTATCAAATTTACCATCATAATGTTCTTATTGTTTGTCTTTGACTTTCTTTGCCACTGAAAAGAATTATACTGGGAATATAGAAAGATATCTGAGTAGATGATGGATATAAAAGAAGTTTAGTGGATATAAGAAAAAAGTCACAAAGGAAGGTTCCATACAGAAATGCAGGCTCAGGGAATTCATAGGATGAAGAAATAGTTGATAAGAAAGGTAGGTCATGGAAAGAAGGCCACAAACTAAAAATTGTTGTTTATCAGATTAAGGACTTACAAGTGTGATTCCATTTACCCTTGAAACGAACACATTAAGGTAAGTATTATTAGTTTCCATTTTATTGATGAGGAAATTGAATCTTAGAGCAGGTAAATAATGAGCATGTGTCATTCAACAAATAAGAGAAACCAGAATTCAAATCCATCTCTGATTCCAAATCCTTTCTCCTCTATTTTATTTATATAGTGTTAACTCTAAGCATTATTCAGAGGAAGAGTGTCTATGATGTTTTTAAGAGCTGATATTTGGAAAGTTTGCATAGTTTGACTGGCAGAATAGAAAGAGAAAGGCATTTTAGGAGGTGTTTCAGGAAAAAAAAGTAATGGAAGCAGAAAGGTCAGGCTTGGCAGAAATAATCACAGAAAACAATTATGGCTAGATCATGGAACTGTGAAGACATAAATACATATCAGGAAGAGTTTAGAAACACACTTTATGAATTGAGATGAGATGTGAGTTTAGAAAGAGTATTCTGTAGGATTAACATCATGCTGAAAGTAGTTCTTGAAAAAGATTCTTCTGGTGGCCCTTTGCTAGTTGAAATGAAGAGAGGAAATCCTATATAGATGCCTACTTAAATCGTTAAAAGGAATCAAGGCTTGGATGACAAGAGCCCAGACAAACAACTTCATTCAGTTTCTTCAATGCATGAAGTCTTTATCATGTATCATATAGAAACACATTTATGCATAATAGCCTAACATAGAAACAAAGCAAGACATTATGTAGACATAAGATGAGAACACAGCTTTAACTTTTTTGCTATAGCCATATTTCTCTTTGTCATTAGAACTTCCAGAGCCATATCTATTAGCTATGCTTTCCACAATCTTTCTATGTATAGGTATTTTAATGCAGTGATGCCATGAAAAGAAATGCAAGATTGTTGTAAAAAATATCTCTTCACAGTCAACTTTACCGTTGAATAGTCTTTACTGTAATGCGGTTTTATATGTCTATCTCTGACAAAATTTATGGTATCTTGAATTGTTCTGGACTCTGAACTAAATTCTTTCTTTTTCTTAATGTTTATTTTTTTCTGAGAGAGAGAGAGAGAGAGAGAGAGAGAGGCAGAGTATGAGGGGTGGGGGTGGGGGGCAGAGACAGAAGGGGACACAATCTGAAGCAGGCTTCAGGCTCTGAGCTCTCAGCTTAGAGCCCAACATGGGGCTCAAACTCACAAACCACGAGATAATGAGCTGAGCTGAAGTCAGATGCTTAACCAATTGACTGAGCCGAAGTTGGATGCTTCAGCCACTCAGGTGCTCCTGAACTAAATTCTTTAAGGAAAGCCCTTCCATCTTCTGGTTTCTGTATACCTTTGTCTGTGTTCCCATGGGAGATAGTGAAATGAAACTGTTTGCAAGAATTATGTTCTTACCTTTTATAATCTTTACTTTAAAAAGATTTTTTTTCTAATAAGCTACAACTCATTTTTTAAACATCTGGACCACATTTCATTTGCCTGCGTTAATAATACACTTTATCTGATAAAGTTGTAGTTTTGCCATCTTCTCTTCTCATTTCAAAAATCTCCTATTTAAAGGGGGCCTGGGTGGTCAGTCGGTTAAGCATCCAACTTTGGCTCAGGTCATGATCTCATGCTTTATGAGTTTGATCCTCATGTCAGGCTCTGTGCTGACAGCTCAGAGCCTGGGGTGTGCTTTGGATTTTGTGTCTCCTTCTCTCTCTGCCCCTCTCCCACTTGTGCTCTGTGTCTCAAAAATAAATATTAAAAAAATATCCTACTTAAAAGATTTCCATGTTATGATAACCTGACTATGCATACCTTCTTAATGAATTAACTCAAATATGTACCCAGTAACTTTTTCATAAGCCTTTACATTCTGATATGTTGAAACGGAGTCCGTGATAGCTTTTTCATAGTTCCTGGATATTGATCTATGGTGCTTATTCACTCTTAAATAATGTTTTTTTATGAAATGTGTCCAGGTTATATATTAAACTGGAATACCTTCACTTTTAAAACAGTTATTAAACTCACATGCTTCAGTAATAAGAATTTATATATCTAAGACCTATATGCCCCAAGTTTTTTGTTTTGTGTTTGTATTAGAATTACTCAAATAGTTTTGCTGATGACTCTCCATTTCTGTCAATTTCATTTGAAATCTAGAAAGAATTCATCTGAATGAATTGTTTTCATTTCTAGATTGCAGTGGTGGAAGAAGATGGTCGGGAGGATAAAGCAACTATAAAATGTGAAACTTCTCCTCCCCCTACCCCTAGAGCCATCAGGATGACTCACACCCTTCCCTCCTCCTACCACAATGATGCCCGAAGGTATGATTCTCTCAGCTCACTTCACGGTTTGCATGTTCTCCTTCAGAAAATATTCTTTCTTTAAGTGCTGTCAAATAGACTGCTTAAAAATTTATATGAGAAATTTGGTTTGAGCTATAACTCTCCATTAGAGTATTGCCCTCCTCCCTCTCCCCTCTCCTCTTGTGAAAAAAAAAAATGCATTCTGAGATCAAATTTTTAGTTTTAAAATTAACTATGTATTTGTGGTCTTATTACTAGCCAATATTGATGAGATTATCTCTTCTATATTTAGTGGATATTTAGTATTAAAATGAAGTCAGGCTAATGGAAAGACTTACTAGGAAGAATAGCAAAAAACTTAACAGACTCTGGGACAAAACTATAAATTTGGCTTAGGCTTAGGTGTAAAAGTAAGGTCTGGGGATGCCTGGGTGTTCAGTTGGTTGAGCATCTGACTCTTTATTTCAGCTCAGGTCATGATCTCACGGTGGTGAGACAGGGCTCGGCACTGAGCATGGAGCCTGCTTGGGATTCTCTCTCTCCCTTTCTCTCTGCTCCCCCCCCCCCCCACCAATAACTAAAACATTTTTTAAAAAGTAATTAAGTTCTGAAAAGTCCATAATGGCAGTTCATTTATTTTTAGCAAACAGGTATGTATACTACCCCCCAAGGTCTGGTGCTGACAGCTATAACAGCTAATAAGCAGAAGGTTCTTAGAGGGGGAAAAAGCATATCTGCCAAAATGTTAAAAGAAGAAGTAAGGGGAAATACCCTATTTGTTGTAGCAACTCATCCTGAGGTGCTTTCCATCTGCCTACAAAATTGCAAGCACATAGCTATAATAAGTAGCATAAACAAATCTAAGCATGCAATTCACATCTTAAATATATATGCTTTTACAGTCTTATCAATTGCAGCATCTCAAGACACATCATTGATATGGCTGTGCATAATGGCTTAGTATTAACACTTTAAGTAAGAATTTATCTTCCAAATAGTATGAGTTTTACAACAAATATGCTTTAAAACAGAGGTTCTGTGCTGGCAGACATTTGCTCCTTTCTGTTTTGTTTATGTTTAATTTCTAATGTGAGTATAAAACCCCAGTTACTCTAGCTTCAAACCCCAGTTACTCTATCTGCTTTCATCCTCCAAGAAAAGAATCACTCCTGTTTTAACATGTGAAAAGCTATTGGTTTGGAGTTTAGAGAATGTCAACTCATTAAAGAGGATGAATAAGTAAAGTTAAGTAATTCATCATGGTGTTGTCAAATGGACAGCTGTAGAATAGATAGCAATGTATCGGTTGTACCTCTCCTATTAATACTATGTCAGTTACATTGACCAGGAATGGAGTCTAGAGCAACTTCTTGGAAATCATTTCAGTTTATCATGTACCTGAAAGAATACCTGAGAACTGTAAGAAAAAACAAAATGATCACTAGAGCATATGAGTATTTGCTTTTAAATCCCACCCAGATGATTTAAAATTAAATGAATGAGGCACCAGAGGTGCCTGGGTGGTTCAGTCAGTTAAGAGTCTGACTTTGGCTCAGGTCATGATCTCAGGGTTCATGAGTATGAGCCCTGAATCGGGCTCTCTGCTGTCAGTGCATATCCCACTTAGGATACTTGGTCCCCCTCTCTCTCTGCCCCTGACCCACTTGCATGCGAGTGCTCTCTCTCTCTCTCTCTCTCTCTCTCTCTCTCTCTCT